TTACAGATTTACAGGATGAGAATTCGTTGAGAAAAGTGTATATATCTCATGTACTCATGTTTTGGCGACATGAAAAGTTGCCCTTTTCTTGCTGAATTTTGCTTTGTTTTCTATTTCCAATAAGCTATGATTTAAGTGATCATTAAAATGGATTAAATGTTCAGTACTTAAATGATCAGTAGATAATAATAAAATGATCAGTTTATTATATACAATTACCAGCAAGAAAACAACTTGTACTACTTCCCTCTTTTCTAATCGTTGATAATTATGTATCGGTATATTCTCTCCTTTCTCTGAGGGGTCCACAAGAATTTAAAGCTATCCTGTTTTACTTTTCTATATATTATTTACTCCCTTTAGTGCCTTTAGTCCTTTTACTCCCTTTAGTGCCGTTAGTCCTTTTACTGCCTTCAGTCCCTTTAGTTCCTTTAGTCCCTTTAGTCATTTTACTTCTTTTACCCCTTTAGTCCCTTTAGTCCTTTTAGACCCTTTACCACGTTTAATTATTCTAGTCTTTCAGCAAGATCGTGTTTAGAAATTGTTGCTATACAGATGAAGTATCAGAAATGAGTGAAAGAACTAAAGGGACTAAAGGGACTAAAAGACCGAATATCATTTAATCTATTTTACTGATTACGTATCTTGTTGCCTTTCCAATAACATCAACTTTTGGGACATAAATTAGGTTTTCTCGATTTCATTCTCACTTTTACAAGCTGTTTTGAATAGATTCCTTCACAAAACGCTTCGAAAAAGTGTGTAGAAGTGGATTCATTCATTAAAGATCATTAGTATTAAAACCAAAAAAAGCAAATTTAGCAAGAAAACAGTAAATTTTCGTTTCCCTCATACATAAGTACATAAGAAATAAGTCCACTTTTCTCAATGAATTCTCATCCTGTAGGACTGTAATTTTCAGAAAAACTTAAGTAATTATAGGTGTATCTATGGCATAAAAATGAGACCCAATTACAATTCTAAAAAGAAATAAAACGTCAAAATAAAGCGTTTCGTTTATTTTGGTCAGAGCGATATATGTGATTAATTATTGTGTTTTTTTTGTGAATGAATTTTAAATTTCATGAAAAAGTTCGACATTGAGTATCTTTTATTAGTTTTTTCGTATTAGCTAAAAGATGCATTCATTACATTGTCTATCTTTATAGTAAAATACTTTTGAAAATAAAGTATAAGTCAATGAACAGAAACCTCTGGAGTATTACATGCCAGAATCTTCACATAGTGCTCATCAGTTTGCAAAACAACTACCCTTTCTGATAAATTTCTGATTTTGCAAAAACAATTTCTGATCGTTTTCTGATTTTGAAAAATAAAAATTTTTTCCTTGTTGAATTTTTGTTCTGGCCACCCTGATTTTCTTGCTAGTGCCATAACAGTGAACTCGATTCTAATTTCGATGAGAACAAGACAGTCGATCGAGGACTATTCATATGTTTGGTTCAAATTTTATGCTCTCTTGACCACTTTTTAAAGTGAAATTTGGGTCCAATTACTTCCAAGCAATAATATCACCAAAGCTTTATCTATATGCTACTTTTTAGAAAAAACAGATACTCTGTGGAAGTACACGGATTGAGAAAAGTACAGCTGCAGAGTCAAATTATGATGAAACTCTCCCGAAATCTGTAAATTCTCAACAAAACATTGTTTACTCTAACTACAAATCGTCCAGAGTGTCTGATATTCTTTTGAGAATAGCAATATGCCAAAACTTTTGCATAATTAGCAGAATTCCATGACAATTTGGTTAAATGATGTAGATTTTCAGTAGATAAAGAACAATCTTTCATTCTGAATTCTGCTTAGCAGAAAATATGGGCACTGAGTAGGGATGGTTTATTTATTTTTAGTTGCTTTCTTTTGGGTGACGCGACTTCCACAGTGACTTGACATATTCGACCTGACCTTTTGTTGCCAAGTTGTAGATCTTCATTTGAGTTATAGTTTCGTTCCATCAGTGATTTCTCCCTATTGATTATGATCAAAGTTATAGAGCGTATATGATAGTATTTTTCCAGATACCTTTGAAAGTAATCACATTGTTCATGTTCCATACGAGTCTTTATGAACGATAATTAGGAATGATCTTCAAAGCCAAATTCTAGCTCTAGTCAAGAAAACAGAAAAGATTGTCCTGAACACTTTCCACATATATAATATCTCCTATATTACACAGAAAGTGATTTTTTCCTTTATATATTGTCATCGTCTTATTTAATTCGATGCTCAACATACATAAGAATTTTTAGTTAACATATTTTGAAATGATAGTTTTTGCTTAATTTCTCATGTTTCTTCATTTTTGTTTAGATTAATTTATTTCATTTCATGTCATGTTCATATTTAGCGCGTCCAAAATGAAATCTTACAAGCTAATAGTCATAATCATGATGGTCTTTGCATGTTTTTATTCTTTTGTTCTGATTCCAAAAGAGATATCTCTTGTGCTTTCATGGATGAAAAATCCTCTTACAAAAGATTCACAACGATGCATAATTATTTTACGTACAAGAAGTGGTCGTTTGGGCAATCGATTATTCATGTTCGCTACTGCCTTTGGTTTATCACTCGATTACTCATGTCAATTGTATATAGATTTACCTATCATCCAAGAGCTTCGTCGATCATTTGAACTCAATATACCGAATCTTATATCAAGACTTCCACTAAATGCTTCTATGTCTGTGCGGAAAATCTACAATCATTGTTCTTTTATTTCCAAACTGTTCGACTCTGATAGTTCTCAAATGATTGAATTAACTGGATATTGGCAAGTGCATAAATATTTTTTCAATCATACAAATGAAATAAGACATCATCTACGATTCAAACGGAAAATTTTAGACGATGTGAATAGTTTTTTTGACAAAGTGACGAATAGAAGTACAACAACTTGTGTAGGAATACATATTCGTCGAGGAGACTTTCTCTTAGTTCGACGTGCTTCATCTGATCAATACATTCTTAATGCAATGAACCATTTTGTATCAAAATATCATTTAATTCGTTTTATTATTGTAACAGATGATAAGTCATACTGTCGAAAATTATTTAATAAGCGAAATGATGTTATTTTTACACCGAATTCATTTAGTGCTGCTCATGACTTGACTGTTCTCACATTATGTGATCATCTGATCATTACTGTAGGAACTTTTGGATGGTGGGGAGCTTTTCTTAATAACAAAACAGGTGAAATATTAACTGACTCAAAAGCTGATTTTAGTCCAATTGATATTAATTGTACACGAGATGCATACTTTCCATATTGGTTTTCTTTTTTGAATCATACTATATAAATCATTGACACATCATCTTATGTTTATCTTACATCTTTCGAATATATCAATGTAATTTCTTTATTCTAGACAATGATTAAGACTAGTTTATATAGATGCACTTCTACTTGTTTAATGATCGTCATTGCAGTTATCGTATTTTCATTAACAAAACAATCTCAACATAATAAACTTCGATCTTCTCACATTGTACATTCAAAAGGTTCATCCACGAAATACAACTACGATAACATAACAACCATCGTAACGGGCTATTTTCCTCTGAAAAAGTCTAAACATGAAAAGTCTGAGTATCTTATGTGGCTTGAGAATCTACTTTCATATTGTCACTCACCAATGATCATATTTACATCTACCGAATATCAACCAATCCTCTATCGACTTCGTCGAAATAGCTCTTTATCATCATATTTTATTGTTAATTATTCAACACCTCTACAAATGTTTCCGATTAAATCCCTTCTACCTATTTTTGAACTCCAGCATAAAAGTGATCCAGAACGTGGATATCATTCAGTTGAACTCTATGCTATTTGGTGTGCAAAATCATTCATGCTAAATCAAAGTGCCGAACTTAATCCATTTAACACCAAATATTTTTTGTATATTGATGCGGGAGCATTTCGATCATCTAATTATCGATTTCAATTGTGGCCTGATAGTCAAATCATTCGAAGAATATTTTATAATGATAGACTTCTTCTCGCCATGATTGCTCCACTTCCTCGACGATTCTGTCCATTGAATTACAAAATAGACGAAGGACCAATCAAGATCAATCTTATCGAAGGTGGAATTATAGGCGGCTCAGCATATGCTATTCACTGGTGGACGTCACTGTTCTACGATACCATTAATAATTACGTTTCAAGAAACTTTTTCATTGCGAAAGATCAGTATGTAATGAATGCAATTGCTCTGACCAATCTTAATCATATCAATATGATGCTTTCGTTTCGTGTTTCCTGTGGTAATGTATGGTTCGCTTTCGGACCTTTACTTGCAAATGAGCACGAAAAAATAACTCTATCTTATTCATTGAATTGTCGAGAAGAAACTTTATCTTCCTTTATTATTCCTTTTGAAACTATTTGCAATAATTCAAAGAATTTCATATAAACTTAATCATCTATTAAAAAGAACACTGACGTATAGGATCACTTGTTGTTCCTAACCATGTTAGCCATGCTGCCTAGTGTGTGCATGGTAATTATGCGTGAACGGAAGAGCAAGAGAGATGAAATATGTGAGAAGTGTGAAAGTTATGACTTTTATCATGAATTAGGATCTATTTTATAACTACGGATGCTTCTTAATATAATCCTTAAGATTAAAAATTTCTTCACTATTTATGACTAGAGTCTCGCAATATGAAAACTAGGATTGATTATAATTAAACAATAATTTTATCTCTTCCTTTTTCAATAAAAATAATAATTTATTTAATAAAAATCAAATATATAATTTGCTAATTTATTAATAAAATTAAAATAACAAATACAACAAATGAAATATCAAAAATACCAAACAATAACTGACGTTTCGAGCGTAAAACGTTCCTCGACAGAGTAGAAACTATACTAATTTATCATTATACAATATTACGTTTTTGTTTATTTTCAATCATTTCTTTAATCTTTTTTGTTTCTTTATATAAAATATTATTGCATCCATCATCTATTGAATCATATTTGTTGATGGATTCGAGTAGATTGTTTCTTTTTTTCTTCGTTTCCAATAGTTTATTTCGTTGTCAATAATAAATGCTCTATTTGGATCAATAGAACATTGTCTATTTTTCATATAATGATGTTTTACTATTTCTGAGGATGAGTTTATATTATTTTCTTTAATCTTTGTTTCATATTGTTTCATTCTATCTGTTAAACCTACTTTTGTTTCTCCATTGTATATCGCGCTACAATTACAATTCATTTGATATACGATTGATTTTGATTGAGGTTTTATATTCAATGTCACTAAAGATTTTAATTTTAATGGATGTCCAAAATATAATTTAATCCCAATTTGTTCTAGTTTACGTTTAAGAACTTCCATTCCTTTTACATATGGAAGTGATAATGTGAATTTTGTTTCAGGTTTCTGTTTATTATTTAACTCATTGAGGTTTGGTTGATTAACACTTTTTTGTAAACATTTTTGTATAGTTTTTTCTATTAAATCTGTTGGAAAATTTTATTTGAGAAACATTTGTTTCAATTTATTTAAATCGATTTGCTGTTGTTCATTATTTCTTGTTGTATTAATTATTCGTTGTGTCATATTCTGAATAATATTTAATTTGATTGAATGATGATGACTCGAATGAAAATTTAAAAATCGATCACTTGCTATTGGTTTACGAATCCGTCTTATATCTAATTTATTTTCATTAAGATTTCTAGTTACTGTTGTATCTAAAAAATTTATTTGTCCATCTTCCTCATATTCACATGTAAATTTTATACTTGTTCTTTTCGAATTTAATGATTCAATATATGATTCTATGAGTATGGGGTGTGAGTGTGGGTGTGAGTGTGGGTATGGGTGTGG